ATTCAAACATATAAAACAGCTTATAAACCGCATTCATATCATACCAAGTAGTTATCAGGATGAATGTTAACAATAACTACATAAATCTATATACACTTGATATGATAATATTTATGCATAGTATGAGGGTTTTTTTTAATTCATTTTTATGTTTGATAGTCAGTGGATTAATTGGTTTGACATCATCACCAAACCATGCAGATCATCAGTTAATCATCTTTCCTTTAAATTAATCGACAAGTTGACAGAAATACCTACCTATCCATATCAACATACATATTTATAAAATAATTATATTCTTACTAAATGTTCACGCAAAATAAGAACCGAATTAATTTGTTAAGATATTTTTGAATGAAACTAATCTTGGTTAGTTTATTATATAACATCGGTTACACTCATTTTTGAATTACAGAATAGACATTACCACCCTCCTGTTAAACATTTTGGGTAAAGAGTTGTTGGGGACGATAGATCCCCAAAAACTCATAGTTTGTAATTTTATCTTGTGGGGCTTGTATGCAGATGTATACGTGGGCATTTCTTACTGCCCACGCACCTAGTCAATTGACGAACTATCGATTAAATGTTTAAAAGCTCCATGGCAATATTGATATATATATTCGTATATATACGTTTTAAAAATTGTCTTTGTTGAATCGCTCGTTTTCTGGTTGTTGCAGAATATACTTCCATTCTAAGCTTGGTCTTCTCCCTCTAGATAGCGGGGCTGGAACGCGTCAATAGTTAGCTTACTGGTCTTGGTCATCGAATCTCGTTCTCGTTCGCAGATCAAGCGAACTAGTGATGGCTTCAACCCTAACAAAAGTATCGTATATAATAATAAATCTAAACGATATAGTATGTCTGATGAAACCAAAGTGAGACAATGGATCTAGATCATACACCTAACTGGTTATCCACCTTATATTATGACTCATATTATATATAAAAAAAGAAATCCATAATCCACACACCTAAACAAGATTTTTTTCTCTATCAAGTTAAGTTAGAATTGGAGAACTTGTGGCTTCATTTAGCATATTCATACGGTATTACTCATATATTTAGGACTTATATTATTTGTCATCAATAATACGAATTATTGTTCATAATTCATACATACGTTTATGTTCATTCATCAATCAATGAAAGAGAGGTGGTCGTAACATCATCTGAACAACCAATAATCCAAACAACCACTGAATTTATCAATACAATCGATTATATTTACAAAGAATAAGTATATTTATATTAATAATATAGAAAGATGATAGCTTCAAACGACTATTATCTAACTGAAACCAGTTTAGAATGTAAATTATAAACTATCGTTATTCAGTTACATTGTTAGTTAATTTAAATCTGGACAAAATTTAACCAATAATATTAGAATGACTCATAATTCATCGAATTATTTATTTATTATACATATTTCAGTTCTATACGGGCTCGTTCAATTTCGTGACGTTATTTATTTTAAAGAACCTACCAGCAAAACATAAAATTTTTTACTGTTATCATGTTAAAGTTTAATCGTTTATTTTAAGTTCAGTTAAACAACATAACTAATTTTATGCATAATAGAAGTCTGAATAATTCACTCATTGAATCTGGTTGGCGTTTTTTCTAAGCAGGACTTTTTCTCTACATGGTGGGGTTACCGACTCCATGCCTAACCTTTCTGATTTACATGGGTTTGAGACTGACAATAAATCTAGAAGTGCTACATGAAGAGTTAGAAGTCTGAATACGTCAGTTCAAATTAAAATAACTGACATCAAGACATGTCAAATCATTAAAATATTTTTCCAGGATAAAACCATGGTAATATACTTATCGTTTATTATTGTTTTTTTAAAGATATTTTTATTTTTAGTACTTTTACAATTTTTATACACCACAACGCCATAGCCAATTTTTATATATTTCGTTATTTTGTTCAGTATTTGTGACTATTTCCATTCTTTACTTATAAAATACCACACTGGTGTAAAACTATTACATAACTATTATATAGTTAAGATTATTTTTTTCAAATAAAGAGAAACAAAAGACTCTCCTTTAGTTAGTTTACCAAGTTCATTCATTTGACTTAATAAAACTATAAACATAAAGTTTCAGATAAAAATATCACTCACAAAGAATGTAGTCTTTGTTGAATTATCGTATACTTCTTGATAAAGTACAGTCGAATAAGATCTCATTTATAAAATATTATCAAAACTCTTTAACTGAATCTGTAACGACCGAACTGCCAGTATTTGGTTTGAACGCAGGACTGACGAACCCAAATGTATTCGAATAGGCCAGACTACGCTCTTTTGTATAGTTTACCAAGCGTTTTTGAGACACTCGTATTAAACTATATCAAAACACAAACTCTGTGCTCAACTTAAACGATTCTAATTTAGAAATAGAGCAAATTATATCAGAAATACAAAATACCTCAAACGGTACAGCCTGTGCTATACAGTCAGAAGTTTGCCTAACGCAAAGTGGTGCGCTAAACAATAAAAGAAACAGTTAATACCCAATGGTTCGATACCTGAGAATCAATAAAAATATTCCCAACAAAATGGGATCAAATATATATATCTGCAGGGATTCCAGAAATCTTCCCAAGCAGACAGTCAAAAGGTTAACAATCAAATACTCAGTCACGCTGTGACCCTTGAGCATAGTCAAACACGACCTTAATATCAATAGTCCGGCAACATGCAATAGAAAATTAGGTAATAAAAGATAAGTCTTTAATCAAAATCACGTAATAAAAGCTCAGACGAGGAGGACTGAAGAACAAAAGGTGTGGTTAAACGAGATCTGAACAAAGGTTAAAATACGCAACAGGGAGAAGAAACAAATAAATGACAGTACTGTCCAACAAAAAAGCTGTGGAGGGATTTTCATCGTTCTCTTTCCGTTACAGAATCCTTACTTTAATCTATCAATTAAGATTCCTAATTATTACATAACTACTGATAATATGTGATTTTTGTCCGTAATGTTCAATTTGTTTTCTTTCTTTTCCTGAGATTATATTCATCAGTTGTTTGTGGTAATATGAAGAAAAAATCTTACACAAATAATTATAGACCCGATTAGCAATAATCTAACATTTCAAAAAGTGGTAAACAGCTTATGTAGAATAAAATGATGAGACCAGTTTTTATATTTGACTATTGATGAAACTAATTTATGGACGACCTTTGAGAGACACTACAGTGGCCTTGAGAATGTCCACTTACATACTAGGGCTAAATGAGGGTTAGAAAACAGTGCGAGGGATTAGAATTATGATTTACAGTTGATGGTTAGGGTTAGGAACTAGATTTAGAGTTTTCATCACGAACTGACATCATTTAAAATACCGAAACGCTATCCAGCAAAATGGATGAATGGAAGTTGTGCCAAAGTCCAGGACCTATTATCGTATATCTGATTGGTTCGTCCATAAATTATAATCTTACCGGACTATTTACTTCCCCAAAAAAGAAAATCATGGTGATCAGAACTCTACTCAGTAAATATTATTAATATGAATATGGAAAACTCATAAAAGGATAATTAAATGTAATAACAGCGACAAAATTAGTGAATTCATCAAAGAGAGACTCAAAATGAAATCAATAACTCATTACTAAAATAATAATCTTAATAATAGGCACGATTACTAATTAATATATCTTTTCATGATATCCCAAAGGGTAGCGAACTTTATAACTGACATTTCGTGACTTAATGTAAGTCACTTCTTCAAAGTAAATAATGATTTATTTACTCTGAAGAAGTGACTTATGAAACGTCAGAAATACTATTTGTTACTCATTGGAATATCACGAAAAAACATGTTTATGGTTAACTTTCTACCAAATGCTCAATTTATTTGAAACTATCAAATAAACATGATAATTGAAATGATTCATATTTACCATGCCTATAATTACATTCTATGATAAACCTTTGTAAAACAACAACAAACTTTGTGATATGAAAACAATTCTTCTCTTCCATATACCCACTAATTTTATCACTAGAATAACTTACAACGATAATATTATGAAGAATGAGATTTAAGTAATACGGTTCATTATCAAAAAATAGTCATTAATTCTTTACACAACCATCAAAGTCTAAACTATTATTCATCCTTAAGATTTGTTCGAGTCTGCCTCTCTTCTCCATGTATGTTGATATTTTAGACGGCAACTGATGAAGTCACTTTTGTCATATATGTATCCAATGCTGATTGTCTCGGCATTCCCATTAAGTCATAAGCAGTTTAAGCAGAGTTTCTATATTATGCAAAAACAAGATAATTGAAATAATATTTTGATGTAATTGATAGCAAGAAACATGTTCAACGTCTTTTTAGTGTGGGTGAACCAATCAATAGAAAACTAATGGTATTTATGCAAAAAATGATAAATTTATCGTAATAATTGTAAATTATATGCTAATGTTATATTAAAAAACTTTACAAACGTGTTCAGATAAAGTGATAACATGTCTAATGACTTTTTCCAAATATGGATTACATTAAAAAGTATTATTATTATCACTATCATTATTATTGGAAAAGAGACAAGAAAACATAACGTAAAACAGAGATAATAAAAGAAATGTAATAAAATGACCGGTTGTAGTGTGTTTCAGAATACTAACTATTATTCATCTGATATAATTTCGTGGAGGTTGGTTTAGTTTGTAGGTTGTTTTCATTACAGACTGATCTCTACGGTAATTGTGGCATTGGAAGCCTATCAAGTAGTTCTAATAGCCAAGCATTCCCCTAAAAACTTGAAAGTCCTGAGTTCAACTTTTTGTTAGATCTTTGATATGCACTTCTGAAGAGCTCTATGATGGGATAAAACAGCTACTTAGTGTTTCCTGATTTTGAATATTATCTCAGATGAAAACAGTAAGTAATAAATCCAATCTATGTATTTTTTAAAACAAAGAATAATTAAGATTTTGTTAAAATTCTCTATTTTTTATAGTGTCTTAATTATCACAAATAGTTACTCATCGGTTATCCAGAAATCATCAAATGAATATCCCATTGATCAAACCATTTCATACTCTTTACCAAAAGAATGTACGCTTTTACCAAATCAAAAATTCCTTAGTGTATTACCTGGATTTGGATGGGATAATTTGGTCAACCGTGAAAGAGGTCCTATAATAGATGTAGAAAAATATTCACTATGTCGACGTTCTGCAGACGGAAACTTTCTAATTCCAGATGATATAACTGTTCGTATGTAATCGATTTTAACGATATTTTTTAATTTAAATTATTACTTGTAAAATGAAACATGGACTCATTATTTTAGTTTTTTGTGTTAGGTTAGCAAAACAATAATAAAATGATTTCCTTACTTCAATAGCCGCAGGAAATTGCACAAACATAATGAGTGATTTAAATTACTGACCACATATATTGCAATTCTATTAGCACTGATGACTAGATAAACATCATATTATTTAGCAATCAATGATCATTTATTGCAGAAATCTTATATTCTACATGCAGGAACCGTAGAAAAAATATATTTCAATGCTACAGATTCGACTAGGTAAGTAGTACCAACAGGTGTGATACCAATGTCATAGTTTTTTGATGATCTAGTTCTACCACTCAGATTTAAAACAGACTAAGTTATTACAAAAAGTACTTTATTAAACTTCTTTTGATTTTGGTTTAATACCAAAGTTACACTTGATACGTTCAAATTAATTGAATATTCGTTAGCAAGTTAATTATAATAAGATAAACATATATTTGTGTTATATCCCAATGAGTAGAACTATAGATTTCTGACGCCTCACAAAAGAATGTAGGTCACTTCATCAGAATAAGTAAATAGTTTGTTTATTTATTTAACTATTCTGAAGAAGAAAACTACATCAAGTCACAAGACATCAGAAATCCAAATTTCTACTTTTGAATATTCCGTTAAAACTGTTTACCAATATGGTTACTTGATAAATATTAAGTTACAACAATTTCAAAACTTTTATACACATAGATCCTTTTATTAGTTTGAAGAGAGAAAAAATGAAGATGAATGCAGAATGATATGGACTAATTTTATTTCGCCAGGATCTCATCAACTACTTACAACTGATAAAATATATCAAAATCAAAATTCTTATTAGACAAAGACATAATTATAAATATATACGCCATAATAGGGCGAAGATTTTAATAAAGTTAAAATGATCGTAAGAAATTCACTTCGTATAAAATGAAGTTTCAGATGGAATTTTCCAGAATATCAAAATGACGATTAAAAATTGTAGAGTTAACAAACTTTCGATGGTTTATTAATGAAGTAACTAAAAACAGGAAATTAATGATTACAAAGAATAATCTAAGTTAAAATTACATGTTCAAGACCAATGAAAATGATGTAATTCAAACTTGAGAAATAGTTAAAATAAAGATTAACCAGATAAAACAATTCTTTAAGTATTCTTTTAAACAATTTTTATACATTAACATTATTGCCGTTTACAGCGTAATTTACTTATTATAAACTTAATACATATATATTTGATATTTAGAACCAATAAAGAATTCGAAAATTAAATTATCCTCTGAAGTCTACGAATCAATTAGTCAATGTCATTCATTAGTAGCTTATTCAATTAATTCTGCTGTTGGTGGTGAATATTCATTTTTTCGTATTAATGGAGATTTTTCATCGGATAAAGAAACACTACGTGAAAAACTAGTAAGTTATTATGTTAATAGAATATTACTATACGTACAGTTGCATTGTTTCATTTTAGATTAAATTATATTTTGAAATTATGAAGGCTGACTATTAATTAACCTTTTGTTAATGGTATGGCATTTTCATGCTTTAGGTCTATCATGAAATCATCCTATTTTTCAAACAATCAATTAAAAGACAGATGGAAAAAAGCAAATTATCAGTTTACAATGTCTTTTCATTCATGAATCTTGATAATTATACAACTAAGACATTTCTTGTAATAGGCTAACCACCCAATTTTTGTTGTTTGTCATTTACATAAAGACTGTAGCTCTTCAAATGACAAATATATTGTGTATTTTTCCTAGTCATTTGATCTATTTATTGAAATCCGTTCATGTTCTTTAAAAGAAAGAGTATTTTATCAGTAATTTAGCTTTTGTAATTACACGTGATTTGATTACACTTCATATCACTTAGAAGTTGGACAACGTAATCACAACCAGAACTGTTGTCATATTGAGTACTCACATGAAATTATTTTGGAAAACCTTTGGCTAGAGTTGTATGACTGAAACTTATGTCATCAGATTAAAAATTGAAGTAATATCTTTCTGTCTGTAATGTAAATAGTTTCCTCATCTTAATTGTTGTGTAGATATGGATTGGAAATTTTGCATTATAGTAAACATGCGATGTAAACCATCGTATTATAGTGAACGTATTATTGTGTTTAATGTATATACATTAAATTCTAAACAATTACTAACTAATAATTAATACGGACACAACGGTAATTTAATTTGATTTGCTGAACTAACATACACTGAACATTTTTTACTGTGCTAGAATGTTTATTAGTAGTAAACACACACTTCATTTGTACGGTTAAGTCGTTTTTAATAATGGCACACATCAATCAAAGTAATGACTATAGAGCAATGGATAAATATGTAATTTATATCATTATATTAACTGGAAAAGACAACAACAAGAAATTAATTGATTGTTATTCGATGAATTAATTTCAAAATGATAATCAGGAGACACTAAAATTATTGATTCAATACCACTATAAACAGATGATTTTCCCTATTCAATAGGCTTAATTTAGTATCAGAAGGGGTTTTTGTGGGTATTATAGTACTTTCAATAGTTGAGATCATGAGTCAATTGAAATTAGACCACCATGGAAAACCTGGGAGCACTGGACAGTCATTTCGTCCTATTGTGGGACTCCTCAGCAATGCGTTCCACGGTCGCGCATCGCGGGATTCGAACCTAGGACCTATCAGTCTCGCGAGGCGGAATCATGGACCGCATCGCTGGGGAGTCCCACAATAGATCGAAACGACTGTCCAGTGCTTCTAGATTTTCTAAGGTGGTCTAATTTTAATTGACTCATGATCTCAACTATTGAAGTTTCAATTTAATTCAAAATATTGGTTCACAATTTGTCTTAATATAAGGCTGCTAAATAATGTACATTTAAAACCTCACTAGTAGTTGAACCCAAGTTTCTTTGTTAGTGTATTATTGTTAAATCACTGAACTGGTTTACATTTCTAATTTCAGTTAAATAGTTATATATTTAAGTTTTACGGTTATATTTTTCACATTTTAATGTGTATTATTTATCTTGATTTAACAGAGTCAAAAATTAGGACTTATTGTTCAAAGTGAAATGCGTCATAATCGTTATTTTATTCAATTAATACCTGATTCAAAATTACATCCACGTTTTAAAAATCGTCTATTAGATATTGCTGCTTATTTAGAACATGGAAATGTAACAATGGAAACTATTGAATTATTTAATAATGGTCTAATGGGTAATACATTAAGAAATTCATTAGGAATTGTAACAAATGATAATTTTAAATCACTAAGTCAAGGTACGAATGCATTTTATCTTGCTGATCTAGTTGTTCGGTAAGTAATTGTGAATCGACAGTTTATTATTGATTTTTATAGCCAAATAATCTGCCCAAAGCTTATATATATTACTAATTCAGATTTCCAAGTAATGACTTAGACTGTTAGGTGAATTATTTACATAATCTAATATTATAACTGGTTTGTACCCCACATCTATCATTGGGCTTAAAACAAGTAATCGTTTTGCAATAAATAAATTGGGAAAAAGTCATCCAAATTATCATTTGATTAGGAAATGATCTGAATTAGAAAGCAGTTTTGATCGGATATTAAAATACACTTATTTTATTCTGGTTTAAAATTCCCTAACAAAATGCACTCATTAGCCTACAAGTAATCGATCTTAAGGTCTAAAAGTCTCCCACCAACTATGATGCAAATACGATTACGAAGCTGAAATTTCAGTAGTTTATATTTATAGTCTAGAATCAGTCCTTTGATGATAATTAACTGCAACCTACACTTGAGACATTGCGTATATGTACATTTATCCACATATAAAGTCCAACAAAATACACTAATTTCAAATTGATTTTATGGTTATATATTCTTTTATACGTTTCAATTTTTTTTCTTAAGTATTTATCAAGTTACAGCATATATGTATTTATTTATGTACTCATGTTTTCTAAGCGATTTTGGTACACATTGTATAAACTCAGTTCATGCTGGAGGTGTTTTGGCCAAAATTGACACATTGGATACAAATTCATTAAATACTAAAAAAGAAGATCGATGGCATTTGGGTGCATCAGCTACAATAAGTTTTGCTAATATCTTTAACGTTAAACTTGGTGGATCTGTAAACATTAATGATTCTTTAGTAAGTTTCATTTCATTTTTCTAGATTTTAACGATGAAATATCTTACAGCATTCATTGTAGCGTTTTTATTGTTTTTTAAAGATTTCAGATTGTGAAATTAGAATATACAACTAATTAATTGTTGTATTCAGTTTAATTGTTTGTCGGAACGTTATTTATTTTTAATTACAACACATGCCAGGGTCAAATTCATTTTTGTATTATACAAACTAGTGACTACCTGGAATCTAGCTAAATGGATAACGCGATTGCGTTTTAAGAAAACTGAACTGCGTTCGAGTCTCGGAATAGACGTGAACTTCGGGATAAAGGGGCATCCAGCTGACGTGTACTACGTGGAACTAAACGCACAACCTAGATGTCACTGTTGGCCACCATCTATCTCTGCATGTATGCTAGGGTCATTCACTAGAGTTTAGAAAGAATGTGAATCAAAACTACAATTAGCAACCAATGAGTACTTGAAGATGAAGAACACATGGATAGCACATAGGATTATACTTATAAACTGAGCGACACCGTCATAAGGCACAAAAAGGTAGTCCTTAGAAAATACAATTTTATGCATTTTGTCTTGTATGTCTGTAGACATAGGTAGCATACACCCTAATATAAGGTTAATAAACTGTTGGATTATTTCAAAATTATCAATTCCTGTCATTTTTGTATAAATTATGTATACATATACTAATAGCATTTCTATAGAGCGATTTCAGGTAATAACGCTTATCCCTTACAGTACAGTTTATGTTGATCAATCATTTATCTTGGTTTTGATAAATTTCGATCTATATCAAAGATTATTCATACTCTCAGTGGATACACACTAATAACAATAATGATACAAGCAATAGTAAAGTCTTATTTCACTCCTGAAACTACTAGGCATATTTGATTCTCACAGTTGAAATCACTAGTCAATCTAGGCTAAACCACCATTGAAAACATAGAAAAACTGGACGGCCGTTTCGTCCTAGCATGGGACTCCTCAGTAGCGAGCATCCACATTTGCTTTATAACGGATAAAAATGGTTAAATACTTTCAGTGTTTAGATTACTTGTGAGAGATTAAAATAAGCTGTCGTGAGCCTTATTACAAGTATAATAATTGTCCATTATAAATACAATGTCGATCGAACATACAGATCAAGATATAGACCACATAAAGGTTATAAGCACAGGTGGAATAGTTTGTGTGAAGGTGAGCAATAATATGTATAAGTATTAAGCAAATAAATAATACTCAACACTTGGAGTGATTCTTTCAGACTAAATTCACCCCAGTGAATTCTAGCGTTCCCACGAAAATAAAACTTTTAAATACTAATAGCAGTGAACAACGGATAGCTATTAATGATCAATAGTTTTCTGAACGACACATCATTGCTTGAAGTGACGAGTATTGACTTTGGGAATCTGAGGGAAAAAATGTAAACATTTAGCTGACGACTAATGAATTTAGAATTTATGATTCTCTAGTAGGCTGATTTAGAAGGTCGACAGTCTTTCTTTAAAAAACTTACACAAAGTCCCGACTTAAACACATGAGCTTTGAGTTTTTTGGTCTTAACTTTTATTTCAAGATAAAATGTTGAATATTCATAGTTTCACTCAAGGTAAACAATTTCAATAGAAAATCGAATGCAAAATGATTAACTATTCTAGTAAAAATGCAAAGTTTACTTGAAAAGTTTTAAGTAGTATATGATTAAAACCATAATTTTATTTTTCCGACTATCCATACAACTTAAATTCATGAGTCGATCTTCGCTAGACCATCATTGAAAACTTGAAAGCACTGGAGAGCCATTTTTCAGTGTTGATCTAGCTTAGATTGAGTCACGAATTCAACTATTAAAATAACTGGACAATCGTCTGATTATCAACTCAATAAACTGTATATTTTCTCATAAACAATGTTTCAATTTTCAATTCTGGACACATGTAAAATAGACTGATTCCCCTTATAAACGCAAAAATTACAATTAACTTGTTGATATTATTGACCGACTGTATATAAGTAAATAAAGAAAAGTGAATGGTTTTTTTATAATTAACAAATGTAGAAGAAAGTTATCTACTTTAACTGAATTATATAAAGTGAAGAAAATTGTATTGGATTATTAAATATTTATTCAATATTAAACAAGAACTAATCACTATACAGAATTACTCCGTTCATTAAGTTGTGCTAATTTAATTAAAACTAGTTCTTAATACTGAACAGATAATTAATTTATTTCAGTTTAGAATTTTTAAAAGGAATTATTAATTATTTCTATTGAATTGTTCCTACTACTGAACTAAGTAAAAAAAGTTTTTAACTTAGATACAACTGTTTTTAGGAAAATAACACATTATTTCTATATTGATTTTTATTTACACTAAATTAAATAATTACATGTTATACAATTGAGTGAAAATTCTAAACTCATAAGTCAATAATATTTATGATCTGTTGTTTTCGTTATTGATTTTTTTGTCTTTTTCTGTTTAAGTTTTTCTCTGTACAATCTTACTTTGTTTGTTATTGAGATGAATTGGTATACATGCTTTTTTTATATTTTTAATGTATTAATCAATGAAAAAAAGATTGATTTTTTCGTGATAGTTATAACAAATTTGTGTTTTATATCAGTGTAATAGTTAGAATACTTGAAGATAGTATAGATTATGGATTATTTTGGTAACTAGATAATCATTGAAATTAAGAAGTTTTAGGATAGTTGTCTAGCTATACTATGAAACTTTTCAGTAGTCTTTACTCATGACCTAGCTATAGATTGAGTTTAGGAGCTTTAGACTTCATAGCTAGTGTATTACGTTTAAACTAAATACTGATCGAAATTCAGTCCCTAATATCAACAACAGGTTAATTCGTACCTTAATTATTATGATAAAAAGTCATAAACGTTACATAAGTTAATGGCTATCTGGACTTGGAATGTCAGAGGATAAATCATTGAGCTTTTGAAACAAAGGGTAATGAAAGAACAGTAACATTGAGATGCAGGTATACCAAACTGACGAGATTCAAATAAAACAAAATGTGATTCTTCAATTTTACTGGTGCCACAATCTATCGATTCTATGTAACTTTAAACTATTGAGTTAAGATCTAGATATTAACATATTGACTGGATGCTAACTCAGTAAAGCATGAATATCTTAGATTCAATGCTTATAAAGCTCATGAATGAAAAATTCTAAGGAATCACAAATTAAAATAAAACAGTTTCTCAATCTCTGATTTTCAGTAATTGTCTCAACTCAACTGATCATGTAAATGATCTTCAAAAATTCAATAATCTACACAAAACTCTTCTAATAATAATGAAAATGTCCTGAAGTTTAGTGATTTTCTAATCTGACTGTTTCCTTATTTTATTTTATTTCTATTAAATTTTAACATCATCTTTTTTTCCTAACAGATTCAAAATTATGAAAGTAAAATAACGTATAGTCAAGTTTTAACCTTTGGTGGCCCTATTATTTACATGTCCGATGTGAATTTATCACTTTGGGAATCTGGTCTAGACAATCAACTAGTGGCTATTGACAGAAGTGGACAACCAATTTATGAATTAATTACAGATAGATCGTTACCTGAGTTACCTAGTCATATGATAGTTCGACTGACTTCAACAATTAAATCAGCTGTTGAAAGATATTATAAAGCTAATACAGTAGTTGGTAAATTATATGAATTACAATAATTGTTTACATGTACTTAATTAATTTTCTAATTAAGCTAGCTGTAATTCCATGATACATTATCAGTTTGCACCATAGTCTAACTCCTGCACCTCATTACTTGTAATCGACATGTTTACCTTCATTTTATTAGTTTATGTAGACAATACTAAAGATCTGCACCTATTATGAATCTTGATTTCCACAAAAAATATTTATTGCCCTAATCTCTTACAAATAGTCTACACAATCCTTGTTCAGTAAAGAGCTGTGGAGATTATCGAGCTTAGATCGACATTATGAATGGATCAATGTTAAACCACCATTGAAAATCTGGACTACTGTTTCGTCCTAGTATGAGGCTCCCAAGCAGCGCGCATCAACGATCCCGCTTGTGAGGTTCTAACCCTCCACTGATATTAACATAGTTGGATGCCGTCTCAGTGGTCTAGAGGTTAAGTGTTCACGCGCAAGACTGGAGGTCGTGCGTTCGGATCCTGCGTGCGGGACTGCAGGTGCATATCGCTGAGGAGTCCCATACTAGGACGAAACAGTAGTCCAGTGATCCCAGGTTTTCGATGTTGGTCTAATATTGACCCACTCATGATATCATTCTAAGCACAATCTCTTTTGTTTTGATAATATCTGTTGAATTCATTATAGCTTGTTCACTCAATGATAATTATTCTAACATAATGTAGTAACCATATATGAACATTAGAAGAGGTCGAAAATAAAAAAATGTTTTGTAGCTGATGAAAAGAGGATTAACTTCATAAAAGCTAACATTGATCCTTTATGATAATAATCATAATCATCATATATTTTGAGTGTGTGATCGTGTGATTTATTTAACAATATTATTAAAATAATTTGGATATTTTATTTCAATAACTGTATAAAACTAATATAAATATGCATTTCTGAAAGTGTAGTCATAAGTAAACAGATACTAATAAATTTATCATTGGGTGACCGGCTAATGCTACCAATCGATTCCTCAACTAGGCCATCTATATAAGTGACCTGATCTCGCAATATACTATAGCGAACGGTGACGACCGTCAGCTGAAAAACCTAGATTAAGGTTTTGTACTTGCTAGTATTCATCAGCGTAACTCGCCTATCATTTCGAAAGATCTCATTATTAACCTGTATAATAAAGACAGTATCAGCAATATATTATTTCTGGCGAAGGCAATGAATGATTTCAACAGATAATAGAGTTCATTTAGAAGCTTCAAACAACCTCTGCTGAATAATACTTTCTTTTAAACCTTCGAGACAGTATTTCATTTGAAATTCAGTCTATACGTTGTGTTGAATGGTCTATATGTTTGTATGAGTTAAGTTCCAAAAAAAATTATTCGTCGTAAGGCAGTTGGAGGTGGGCGACAAGAAACTTTAGATCTACGTTTTTTGTTATTTGGCACTCGTCAGCAAGGTGTACCACTCATTTTGAAAGGAATGTTTGCTCCCTGACGGATTCAATCTCCTGTCACTTAACTTCACAGTCAGACTTACCACCGAGTGACTCACGCCGTAGTTGACCTTCTGTAGAACCGAGATGTATTTACAATTGATTGATCACCGGGTGGTGACCAATGTTGTATATGTCAAGTTCTTCATCAGTTCCCTCAAGGTCACAGGTTCACCTTGTCAACGAGTGTTGAGTAGCATGAAACCTAGGTCCAATCGACCACCTCCAACCACCAACTTGCATCTCAGCGTAGTGCGCTCTGTCTAGTCACAAAGTCTAGTGGCCACATTGCGGCTTGACTGACAGAGTACGATCAGTAGTAATAATAACTTTACATTTATGACATTCGTCACTACCCAGTGATCAATCAATTGTAAATATACTCACCTCCTAAATAAACGCTATTACTACTGGTTCCGTTTATTTGTCATCGGTGGTTAGATGGTAAGGAATAAAAAGCCTAGTCGTGACTACAGTCAAACGGAAAACCTTCTAATTACCGAAAGGCATTTCAAATTACATTTCAGATTTATAATAATCCCTTAGCGCTTTATTCAGAGTTTGATTTGGAAACAAAGTGTAAAATATAACAGTTCATTAAAAAATTTGATAATATGTAGTCACTCAAGATTGGTCATATATGTTTTTAGTCTCTCAAACCATTCAAATATTCTAGATCAGTTTTGCAAGGTGATCAGTGAACTACATGACTCAATACCATGTTGTATTGCATTTAATCATGTGATTCACTGACACCACTGTCTGACTATGAATACATTTTTAGTGCCATTAACAAACAAATGTGTAACTGCTATTTTAGTAAAACGGATATGCCTATTATTTGTTTTAGACATTTATATGATTTCTCAAGAGTGCATACACATGACCCTATCAGATATCAAATCGAGCTTCACTATGTTTGATCCACTTCAGTCAGTCAGTCAGCTGCAACGTAGGACCAGGCACATATATTCATCGGTCCAAGTTGCCATACCACACTAGCACAACAAGATGAACACCGGATTCATAGAAGTAGTTAATTCAGTGGTGGTAATATATAGAAGAAAGAGTGTGTATAAGGATATAGTGCAAGAAAATAGAATTAGTTCCTAGAAAGAAAGATTTGAAGTGATTTTAATCTCTTAGTTTAAAGGAAGACAGAGAGTGTATACACCGACGCCATTGTGATCGATTCTGAGCCATGTCACCAAGAGTCTCCAATCATTGGTTACGATAGTCACGCGGACCCCAACCGGGCAGTCTGAATCTACCAACATGGCTCAGACCAGAAGTTAGTGACTTCAAGCACTGATTCGACGTTTTGGTTTGGCCGCCCCTAAATTTCTTCCAATCATCCCTAACACCGGTTAGCATTGCGCGCCATGGTAATCGGTGTTCAGGTATATGCAGCACGTGGTCCAACCATCTCAGTCGATGAAGATTCATAACCTCATCAACTGACTTACCATCATTCCCTAATACCCTGCGTCTAACCTCACTATTACTTACCCGGTGATCCCAGCAAATACCCGCAATATTTCTAAGGCACCTGTGGTCAAATACTACTAACTTACGAATATCTTCTACTCTTAAAGGCCATGTTTCTCAGCCGTATAGTAGAACGGAACGAACTGCCATGCAGTATACTCGTCCCTTAATTGATAGACGGATATCTCGCCTTTGCCATAGATGACGTAAGTTGGCAAAGGCTAAGCGAGCTTTTTGAATCCGTGCTGAGATTTCGTCACACACCAACCCATTAGGGCTGATCAGACTTCCAAGATAAGTAAAGTTGTCAACGCGTTCGATTACTTCACTCCCTATCCTTAGTTCAGGTGTTGATGCAGACCAGTCCTGAAGCAACAACTTGCATTTAGAGGGAGAGAAGCGCATCCCAAACATTCTGGCATTGTTGCTCAGTGCTACCAAAAGACTCTGCATTTCATCAGCGTCTTCACCAAACAGGACTAAGTCATCTGCGTATTCTAAGTCAATAAGTGGACCTCCTGGTAGGAGATCTACGCCCGAGAATTCAGTCGATGAGAGCGTTATTTCCATCAGTAGATCTATGATGAAGTTAAACAAAAATGGAGAAAGTGGACAGCCTTGGCGGACGCCACTTGAGGTTGCGAAAGCAGATGACAGTTCGCCATAAGCTCTGACTCGACTAGTAGTGTTCGAGTAAAGAGCCTTCACAAGGTTTATGTATTTCTGAGGTACGCCTTTCAATGACAGACACTGCCACAGAACCTCTCGGTCAACAGAGTCAAACGCTGCTTTTAAGTCAAGGAAGACCACCATTGTCGGACGCCGATAAGTATGCTTGTGTTCTAGAACCTGAAGAATGGTGAATATGTGGTCGATGCAGCCACGACCAGGTCTGAAGCCAGCCTGATTTTCACGTGTTTGCAGTTCATGAGTCTTAGTTAGGCGTCCGAAAATTATCGAGGCTAGTATTTTAGATACTATATTAGTTAAACTAATCCCTCTGTGGTTGTCACAGGATGATTTTGACTCTTTCTTAAATATTGGGATGATAAGTGATTGTGACCAGTTAGATGGGATCACGTCTAACTCCCAGATTTTAACTAAAATATTAGTCAACCTATTTGCTAAAACTAAACCACCATCCTTAAAGACCTCTAGGGCCAATCCATCTGGACCAGCTGCCCTTCCTCATTTCAGATTGGCTATAGCCTTTTGAACTTCAGATAGAGATGGAGGACCTACTTCAATGTTCCATTCATACTGCCTGGGAATAAAGGGTAGTTGTAGAGTAGCTGAAGGCCAACCGAACTGCTCCTTAAAGTGTTCCGCCCATCTTTCTAAACGTCTGGACTGGGAGCAGATGAGAGTGTCGTCTTTTTCCGAAATAGTCTGACTTACACTCGACTTATTAATTCCAGTTTCTTTTATTAGTCTGTAGAGTTGTCTTGTGTTTCCTATAGCCGCCGTCTTTTCCATCTCTTTTGCTTTCGTTGCCCACCACTGCTCACGATCGTTCCTTAGACTTTTGCTTAACCTACATCTGATTTCTTTACGCTCTTCATCGTGTTCAGAACCTGATGGGATGAGTTTGCGAGAATCTATCAGTGAAATAGACCTTGAAGAAATCCATTGGTTCTTTGTAACCCTGTGGTTTAAATCACTAGTAGATGTCACGGCTGTTTCCACAGCTGCTTGTATTTCTTTCCAAGCAACACCTGGGTCAGCCTTGTTTTCAGAACAACCTAAGTGTGACCTCAGTTGTTCCTGGAACCAACTTTGGGTTTTCTCATTACTCGATTCGGTTCTAATGAGTCTTTTTTGTGTGGCTTTTTTGTGTCCAGTGAGGCGCAAGCAGATGCGTCCTCGTATTAGGGCATGATCGGAGTCCAAACAGGTACTCCAGAATGAGCGACAATCTTCTATTGACCCTCTCCAACGATGACTGATGGCAATATGGTCTATTTGAGTCCATCGTTGGTTTGGTGCAGGGGGTCGCCATGTTAGACGATGTCTCTCATTATGCTTAAAGTTTGTGTTTGCCAAAAATAAACGATTGTCTGAGCACAGTTGCAGCAGACGATCACCATTATCTGTTCTCTGTGCCGGAATACTGTAATACCCACCTAAATGTCTTTCTGTTTCGTTTAAGCTACCTACCTGGGCACTAAAGTCGCCTGCTTCGAGTACTATGTCTGGACGTTTGGCTTTCTGAAGAAGTTCAGACAGCTTTCTGTAAAATTCATCTTTCACTTCATCCGAACTGCAGTCGGTGGAAGTGTAGGTAGAAACGACGAAAAGGCAACAACATGTGTCCCTATTCTTCCGAGTTCTTATGGAGCCGTTTAGCCGAACAGCGCATAGACGACTGTTAACGAGGATCCACTCTAATAGCGCTTGTTCCGCCCTCATGCTTAGTGCTATGCCTACACCTGCCAGTCCACGAGAACTAGCCATCGGGTCGCCAGATACACGGAGGGTGTATATCATTGGCTCTCCGTTTTGCCGAGGTGAGGTCAAGTGAATGAACACGCTAGAATTCTGTATGCGTGTATCGGAGACACAGCATACATCAATCGTACGAGATTCTAAGGTTTTAGCCAAGGAAGCCTGCTGACCGATTTGGCATAGTTTGCGTACGTTGAAGGCTCCAATGTGTAGTTTGGAGCGAGGTTTCAGTAGACCTGGGACAGTGTCTTGCGCACTAGAATCGTTGGCTGTGGTGACACTTGAGGAGGAAGCCGAAAGAAGGAGTTTAAATTTGAAAGTCGATGTAGGAGGAATAATAGGAATTGAATAGTGAGGTTGATTATGAATGCAATGGTCTTGAGTGCTGTTAGAGGTACGAGGGCGGTTATCACTTCCCGGTTGCCCACACCGTGGAAGGGTTCTGCTTGAGGTACGTGAAAAGGAAATTGGATTAGAGGTGGTCTTAGTGACCTGAGAGCGTGACCGCAGTGCCCAAGGGACAGCTGCTTGAGATCGGTCACACACGACCTTTTTATGAGTAATTTTTGTGTTAGCTCCGTACTTGTTGAGACCTTACCGCCGGAGACGGATATCCGTGGGATAAGGCGAGGTGTGCGTTTTTAGGGTTGACCTTTTTTAACCCCTCCCCTCCTTGTGGGAAGGCAGCATCGCTGTTATGCTGGTTGTCTGAAGGAAACACCTTACTTCTGTCACACCTCTGTACAGTCAGCAGTGAGACTTCGCCTTCGGACCTTGGATTTGTTGTTTCTAGTCTTACCGCTCTTCGACCGACCTGTCTGGCATGGTAGGACCTTAAGGAACGGTTGTTCAAGCCAGTATAGCTCAGTTGCTTCATCACGATAGGCAAGCCCGACCACCACGTCAAAGTAGCAACAACAGTCAGGATTTGATCCACTTAGTTGGTATCCAATGATTCATACTTCCGATCTCAGGCTATTTATAATCGTACGCTTACTAGTAGCAAACTCTTGAGGTTCTAGTAAGAAGCCTTAACCAGTTAAGTTCACCAGTGTTGGATGTAAGACAAGTTTTATCGATGGGATCCATAAAACAGTAATTGAGTCAGCTAAAACGCAGTTATGTTTATGCAGTTAAACTGTAATCGATAATGCTTAAATTTAATTCATTTTTTCAGGCTGCATGAATCCTTTATCAGTTTTTTATGATAATGAAGCAAATGTAGCTTCGCCAGAATGTGATCTACACAGTAAACAAATTACAAATTCAACTTTATACCTTGGAGGAGTTTATCAAAAGTGTACTGGTCCAGATGATTTATGTCTTGGTGAAACTATACCTAATCCACTTACTGGTGACTTATTCTGTTCACAAGGTTATACATCGATACAACTGTTACCGCAACAAATTAGAAAATGTTATAGTGTATGCAGTGAAAAATCCTGGTTTAAAAATCCCGACTGTACAACTCAATGCGCTATTACTGAATCTTACTGGTGTTCACGTGATCCATCATTATCATCATCTAATATATTAGACAACAATGATAGTGGTTATTTATTTGGTGGTCTTTATACAGATAAAGAGGTGAACAGTTTAACTAAACAATATAATTGTCCACAATATTACTGGCCAATAACACTTGGTCGACGTATGCGTATATGTTTATCAACTGATCGTGAATTAGGTGGTAAATATTCATTACCATTCGGTGGTTTCTATAGTTGTTATTCTGGTAATCCTTTAACTGCTTTAATTAATATCAATCAAACTGATGATATAGATGGCAGTAGACAAAATACTCGAATACCAGAATGGTTTAAAATACAACAAGAACGAATGTCATTCACTCTTCCACCACCACCACCACAACAACAACAAAATCATGGAACAGTGCGGTCAATGCTACGTAATGATAATTTCAAAGACCAATTTGTACAGAATGATTTTTCACAACTATTTGCTGCATTATGGCCGAAAAAATGTCCAATTGGATATACAGCACATTTAGCTGCTATGGAAGATATATGCCAAGTAAGAAAATTAGTACTTTTAATAATTAATTTCTTTTTAGTGCTTTTGTTTTAGAAAAAAACCATTAATGAATATGGTTGTTTAATATCAGAAAAGGTTTTTGTGGATATTATAGTAATTTTATTAGTTGATATCATGAGTCAATTGAAGCTAGACCACCATAGAAAACCTGGTTGTGCTGATGAAAGTGAAGTGAATATATGTCATATCTCGTGTGTTGTAAACCATTATTACTGTTAGAATTGCTACGATGACGTCACTATTACTTTTTATTTAAATTATCATTTTATTTCATGCACGTATTTACAGTATGGTTTCAACCACTTATTCTGTTCCTAGATAAATTGAACCTATAGCATTATGGAAGGTATTCATGACTATTTTCATAATAGTGAATTAAACGACTTTATGGATATTTCTCAGAAAACTATAGTTACTAAACATCAAAATATTCATAAAATTAGTCGATATGTGAAGGCTTTCAAGTATATCAAATGAGAATAATTTACCTCATCTCTAAATATTTAAAATTCTTGCTTTACAAAATAACCGAAGGTATACTGATTCTATCCAATGATATTTTGCTCTCTAAAAAACTGGTGAGATTTCCACTGTCGTTCCGAGCATTATGAACAATGCAAACCACGAAAACTGCAGAATACGCGAAAATTGTAGTTTTTGAGATTGTGAAAGACTGGTTACTTTGAACAGTTCATGAATGAGAAGGCAGGAACTGACTACAGAAGAAGATTTATTACATATTGCAGAAACACAACTACTATACCCGGAAGTACCATCATTTATAGATATCGATTTCATTCACAATCGATGATTAATTGAACAAATATCACATATGGGGTAAATAAACAAAATTGTTACAAAAACCTATTGTCCATAACATACTTAAAGAAGCTCAGACTAAATTAATGGAACGAATATGCTTCTGAATTAGGTTTACAATGAATTAATGTTATACTGAACAAAATATGACACTCAAAATAAAAATATATTAGAATGACTAATTATCGTGCTGAATTAAAATTGGAATTAATGTGGAACAGAAACCGAAACGAGTTAGAAGTGTGATTTCTCATTTGTCCAACCTTAAATAAACTTAAATAGTGGAAACAGTATGATTTTTTCCACAAGTGGTTAGCAGCTATTACTGATGATATAGGATACGATCGATTTTCCACAGCAACTGTGCTATTACTATCCGTCAATAATATATAATCCAGAGTTTGGACATTAGATACTTAGTTAAACCATTCTACTGCAAATTCCATATCCTACCAAATATACAGCATTAAATAAAGTCATTGTTATCATTACATTCATTTTTTTCATGTTTCAAACATTTGAAAGACTTTTGAAAATATATTGGTTGTGGTTAGTAGTGGAATAACGCATTGTAGATTCCACTGTTAAACAATCGAAATTCGGTCATGAATTTCGACATTAAAATAATTTACGTTTTAAAAAAAAACATACAAATATTATTTGAAAAGGAGTAGAAAAATGAATTTTCACTGAACAGAAAATCCACCCTGAGAATAATTTTTTCTTATTGAAGTGGTTTTAATTGTATACCGGTGAGAAAGAATTATTCATTGCATGATTATAATGTTTGCTTAAGTTTCATTTGACTAAATGACATTTCTATAGTCAATCAAATAAAGATTATTCTATTGAAATTTGGAGACAAAAAATATTGACTCAAGTTGTTTTAAAAGAAAAAATCACATCCTTAGAGAATAAATAAGAAATACATAGTTAAATCATACATATAACTCTCTTTACCGTACCAGCTTATTTTCACTTTATTAAGATCATACCTATAATACATTTGTTGTAGTGTTAACTGAATACAAGATCATATAAGCAGCCTGCTTGAATATCTGCACTACCTGTTCCTGCCATCTAGATATTTCAACAAGTTATGTCTTTTGTTTGTTTCAACAGATCATTATGTCGATTAATTACGCAGCCTATTCAGGTGCGTTTGTGATAAGTTCACGACCTTTCTCTGTACAAGTTAGGAAAGAGCACAATCAGAAACATTGTGGTTTCTGGCAATATACATTGTAAAGAACGTACATTATTCAGATGTCGATTTCTGAACTGCTAACAACTAATTGGTGATCACTCAGTATTTATCGTCAGGATCGATCAAGAAATAAGAAATGGAAACTTGTTGAAATACTTTGCGCTGAGAATTTTATATTGTACCAAAAATATAATATTGAATAAAGCTAATAATAATACTTGATCATTAAAAACAGAAAGACTTCTAAAATGAGAAATAAACAGCATATCTAAATTCACTTTGTTTGTTTGCATCTTCCCTATGGTGTTTAGGACTCTAATAAATTAGTCCTTTATTAGCATATGTGCATACTGTGCATAGTGCCTCGATATGGCCTTAATTCACAAGCATTATATGCAAAGATGGATATTAGCTAGTGGTGGAATTCAGAGTGAACATCAACTCTGAAATGCAGCTACATCCAGCTGACGAGTCCCAAATAGGATAAAACAAGTGACTTCGATTCCAATGCTAGCCACTATCCATTTTTGTAAATAGCATATCTGTTTCAAAATGATCGTGCTGACTGAGATTATCTATCAATTCAACCTTATTTATAATGATAAATGAAGTCAATTTACCGACATTATTATTTGAAATAAAAGATTTAAATTCGTTCTACACTTCATTCCATTATAAAACAATTATCAATAACTAAAACAAATAAAATTTATTATAAAACTAGTAAAATTCTTACGATTAAAAAAAATATAATAATTATTATTATTACTTTTATAATAATATTTTGACAGGTAAATTATTGTGTTCAAGCAAATTTCTTAAAAGAACACGTAAGACGTCAATTGAAAAGGCCTCCATTTGTTTTACCAGTAAGCGCTGATTAATATTTTCTTCTATATATAAATAAAATGATTAATTTGAATTTAATGTTATAAAGTTTATACAGATGAGAAACGTTTGATCAAGAGATTATATTCAATAATTACATTTATTTACGATATAGACAAATAGGTAAATACTTTAATTATTATGATTGAGAAGCTAAGTCTAAATACTTTTGTAATTAAAGTATAGAATTAAAGTTCGAAACTGTAAAACAAATGAACATGAAGCTATGGATTTACATACAAGTAAGTTTACACTGATAGAAGATACTAATTTGTTGTTCTACTCTAAAGTAAGGACGAATATCGTTGCATAAAATCTCTCAAACACCCTAAATACATATATGTATATGTACATACCTAGCAAACTAGATAAACTTTCTGAGGCCAACAATCTGTAATGTATGTATCCATTCAGTTGATTTGCTGCGTACATCAACCTACATGTATCATTTAGTGAATTCATGGAATGAAACCATGATTTAGTCTCTTCACCTGATCAAAGTTAGTAAACCGCACCAGAATAAGTAGTAGATAAGCATATATTTTTCACATATCATTTCCTACTTAGTTATCCATCTTCACAACAATACCAAGGAGGTTGCATATGCTAACGTACAAAACAGATAGTTATTGTAGATGATCCCAGTGTGTGATTTGACCTGTTTTGCATGTTTCCTTTATTTAAGATAGCCATTATCTATAGAAAAAGCATAAATATCAAATTATAAAGCCAATGAATTTAATCAATGTTTCAATTTTCAGTGTACTTATTTGTTTTAATTTAAAATAAAACTGTGGCTTTATTGTGAAAGATGATATTTATGTATACAAAAGCACTGTACACACAACAATACAAATATGCATACATGTTTAACAAATTCTTACAGATTTATACAAAAGAAGAGAAATTACCATTATTTTCAAATGATCCATATGGTAGATCTATTTCGACTGAAGTAAGTAATTGTCGATTATGCACAGGAAAAATGACAAAATATGCACAACTACAGATTTAAAGGATCATTCCATTTTGTAATTGCACAGGTGTGGGTGTGAGCAAATTTTTTTTAAGTTTAAAGTGTTTTGTAGTGTCGGTTATGTCAAGCCCATATACCTTGTTCTAGCTTCTGGACAAGCCACTTATTCATTCTTCTTAAGTCACGTTTTGACCTTGTTAATTATTTACGTATCAACCCTAAGTGTTTTTATATTAGCGTATGTGTATATACGTCTTATCCTACTCATCACGTCAGGCACACTACTTTAGTGGCCCGAGGTCTGACTCCAGGTCGATCGTATGAATGATTGTTATTGAATGACTGATGTCGAAATATACATCCTGACTATTCTCGTTTATTATATCGACTTAAATCGCGTTAGCGAATAATGGAATTGAATAAGTCAAATACGAGAATGAATTTCGAATAAATGTATTTTGTACAATCGTTGATCCCGACAAACAAGAGAAGAGAAGGCGTGTGAGCCAACTCGATTTAATCAATCGTTAATCGATAAGTATATTCACACAAAATAATTAACAGACATCTAATGACTAAGATAAGAAATGAACACACACGCTTACATAAAAATAGTCAAGGTTGGTAAGCGAATAATTAACAAGGTCAAAATATGACTCAAGTAGAATGAATAGATTGACCTGTCCGGAAGCTAGAAAAAGGTGTATGGGCTTAACATAGTAAACGGCACTACATTATGCATCAGGTGTATTGAGATCATAATTAAATGGAAGCTATTTTAAAGTGCATTTTAAACACCTTGTTTATTAATTACAGCAGTTAAATTCTATCAACCAGGATATGTACTAAATGGTTGTAAAACCTAAGGAAAACAACGTGATTACTCAGTGTATTACACGGTAGAAATGCACTTTAAAATTCTAAATGATTTGACTTTTAACTACTGAAATGTATCTTTACATACTTCTTTGCTAAATTTGATTTGAAGAATAGAGTAATATAACTTGGTTACAGAAAAAACGCATAGTTCAAAGCATAAGTAAAAGATTACTTAGTAAGTGAGTTATAAAAGATATGGATCATCACTTTATAAGTTCATACTGTCACATAAACAGGAATCTGTAGATTTACAAGGTTTTTTCCGGTAAAGGAAATATTGAATAGCGCACTAAATATTTTTCGAAGAATTAAAGGCGATCTATAATAAAAGTATAAGATAATGTCAAAAATCAAGATTTGAAAAAAAGACTAAAATGATGTGAGTGAATTGGCAGAACTGAGATTGATTTCTAACCATTTCACGTAAGTTTTCAAACCATAGATAATGATTATTTTACGGAAATCAAATAGGAAATTTGAAGCTCCTGTCTAAAAGTCACTGACTGAACGGTTTAAAACGATGTCTTTGCCTATGTGTCTTTATCTTTTCTTCCAGTTTACTATGTTATCTGGGATAATGTATCAATAAATGTAGGAATTAGACGTGGATAATATATATATCAATAAGAGAAAAGTTCAAAGTCTCATTAATAAATTTATCATCTCTACATAGTACCTAAAAACTAACTATGTAGTGTTTCCACTACAGGTGATCATTTTTTAAAAGTGAAATGCTCAAATAACTACAATCTACACAAATGTCCTAACCTCAAATTCCACTTATCACATTGGTGAAGTAATATGGAGATACTTTTTTCACAATACAATAATCTGGTAATCAAATAGACGTTTAACCTTTCATAAAATGAATGAAAATTAGATAAAGCCATGTGAACATATAGTATTCATACAGAATTCTCACTAAACACAGACCAGCGAGAATTGATCACACTTCAATGATAACTTAAATAGTTAGTATTCCACCATTGGCCTTGTTTTGTTAAGACAGATTGGGCACTGACTCATATCATACATTATTCAAGTATTTTATTATCACTGTTAAAACTGAAGCATATTACAAAAACTGTGATAAATCCATTGAATTTCAATGTATTCTTGCTGCTTAAATTGCAGACAATATGCATTTTTCTAGTAAATAAAATGGAATATTTAAGTGGCTCCATATCTGACTCCAACTGAATCATATCATTGATTGTTATCGAAATACACATATCCGCTGTTCTCATATATTTCATCGACTTAAATCTCATTGGTGAATAACGGAATTAAACAAGTCAAATACGAGAATAAATTCCGAATACGTATACTCCATACAATCGTTGGTCCAGACAAAAGATCGAAGTGGAGAGAAGAGAGCGATACGAAATGACGGGCAGTGGAGAAGGCGTGTGAGCCGATCCCATTTAGTCAAGCGTTAATTGATATTTCTAGTCACACAAAAATAAGTCACAGACATGTGATGAATAGGATAAGAAGTGCACACACATACGCTTACATAAAAATAGTCAAGGTTGATAAGCTAATAAGTGACAAGGTCAAAATGTGACTCAAGAAGAACGAATAGATTGGCCTGTTAGAAAGCTAGAATAAGGTATATGGGCTTAACATAGTAACTGACACTACAATATATAATTAATATGAAGTGAATGCTCTAAGTTAAATACATAATTATAGATGACTGTATTTCGAAGTACAACAACATCTTGTTTAACCAAGCTAAAGTAAACCACTCCCTATAATAGTTCTTCATTCAAATTCATTCATAATTTTCAAGTGCATCTCCAAGTAAGCATTCACAGGAGTATTTTGGTAATTATCTACAAATTTTATAGAATACATTTACTTCGGACTGACCAAATTGTGTGCAATCGAATTATCATTACTGTATAATCCTATGAGTTGTAGATTCTTTTAAAATATTAGATTTGAAATAATCAATAAACAGAATAATCTCATCCTGCTCAGATTGGTTGAAAACAACAGTAACTAGGTGGATTGGGAAAGGTAGATGATTAATACTTAACTATCTTGGTAACGTACATAAACAATGTGTATCACTCTTAATATTTACTCTGCTCTAATTACGATTTAATAAGATTAACTTTTAAACTATTCACTTCTTTTTTATTCAACTTTTTATTCTCCTGTAATCTGGGAGTATCATTTGGAATATTTATTTTTATGGTATGATTTAATTGGATGTATGTAGTCACTTTAATAGCGGTCCAGAGGTTAAATATTTGCGCTCGAGACCCAAGTCCCTGGGTTTGAGTGCTGCATGTGGGATCGTGGATGTGCACTACTAAGGAGTCCCATACTAAGGCGAAACTGCTGTCCAGCGCTTTCAGATTTTCAATGGTGATCTAGCTTACATCGACTCATTAATTCAACTTAAAATTATTACGATCTCCACAGATCCACATTCTGATCATAATCATTATGTACTCACTAATGACTGGCTTCAAGATGAATTCCTGGAGTTATTGTGAAAAACCGTAACCAGTGGAGTCAAATGCATGTCGGGTAGAGATAGGTATCTACTTCAGGACTCGATAAAAGTTTTCATTCCAAAAAATTACAGGTCAGAGTTATGAAAGATAATTATCTGCTTCATAGATATGACTCGTAATTTATTTTCATACTTCGATTCTTCTTTAACCCCCTGATTATTGCGTAACCTCACTTGATAATTGGAGTCTCAAATCACTTTATGATGCAATCTTTCCCTATCTTTCTATAAACATATTTACCATACAACTATTCTCTATTTCTTTATTTTGAAAATAGCTTTTATTTGATTCACATTTATTTAAACTTAGTGATTCAAATAATTTCATTGAATCAAGTTCCAATGAAATACATGATAAAAATGGTAATATAATTAGAAAGATTAATGGTCGTTGGGGGGAGACTGATGAATTTAACATGGAAAATAATATTAATTATAATAATCACAAATCACCAAATATTCAATATGCATTCATTGCAACCCTTAGTACATTATTACCAATTATCATTGTTTTAATTGTAATCATATCTATCCTTATATTCTATCATGTACGTCAACAAAGCAGATTTACATCACGTCATAATTAAGCATCAATATACACATTGAACTGTAAACTTAACATCTGTATGTGAATGTAGATTGCTTAAAATTAACCACCGATAAGCAAATAAAGTTCAACTGATATATCACATGACATTTTATACAACATTCTTTATTTGTAGTCAGTTGAGTTATTCTATTAATTTATATTTGAATTCGTTAATTCATTTATAAGACAGATTACATTTGAATTTATGTAACTTAATCAAGTAAAATTGTTGTTCGAAAATGTTATGGTTAAATTCTTGACGAAATAAGAAGTACACTGTTTCACTATAGTCGATATTTCGGAAGGATTTGATAGATTTATTTTGAGCTCACCAATCTACGTGACCGAAGAGATATCCAAGTGTCTGTCAAAATTGACAATATTCGCCTTGGGAGTTCTTTATATGTTGCTATTAAACCGTGAAGTGGTCATGACAAGCGGAAAATATTTACATATTGCTAGTGTAGTTGGTAATATTTTAAGTATCAAAATCTTGTAGTGGAAATATTGTGAATACTGTTAAAGTTAAATACAAGATTTAAGACAAGCAAACTGTTTAGTATATGAATGTCTTATGAGTAAAATGTTTGAATCATGAAAAAACCGATGTACTACGTTGGTCGGGGATTAAGTTAGCCAACAGAATAAAATTGCCCGTTTGAGATGCAATGTTACAGAGTGAAATTCTCGGTAGTGTGGAAACTTGACTGATTACTAAATAATGATTGATTTCATGTTCGTCTTGTAAATAGCGCTGATTGTATTCTGTCAATCAAAATACGATGTGCGCATCAGACTAAGGGGCTGAGTATTGTAAGCAATACGTTTAGCAGATCGGTCGCCTCGAATACCTCGCTGGCACTTTCTTAGAGTGTAGAGGTAGGATATACAGGTTTGAACCTCGTAGAAAGCACAATTTCCTTAAAGACTGAAGTTACGTCTTGCTGATGCGAGAAAACTATCACGAAACATACGTTCAGGATTCCATATTGGCTATTTCAAACCACCTTACATCAAGTGAAATCCATCTAAGAATTCGTCGATTATCCGTCTGAGCTGTCTAGGTGAGTTCATACTAATTGATTGGGATCCGAGTGACAACCGCGATAATCAACTGAACAAATCTTACGAGACATGACTCAAAATCGGTCATGTTAGCACATAAACATTTCCCTCTAAATTATGGGTTTCAATATTTTTCATGTTTTTATGCTTTTACAAGTATAGTCTCTGTTTCTAATCTTCCATACTACAATGAACTTGGATAATTTGCTTCATGGCAGTGAGGTACTTAAAAGCTTCCTTTACTTTAGGAGTATTACCAACTCTGAAGGTTTGGTGTCTGACGGAAGCTTGCCAAGGATTCTGAGTGCTTGGTAGGGTTAACAAACTGATGTCACTTGTGGAGTGAGGTGTCTCTGTCAATCAAAAGCATGTATACTGTACAGCAGTCCATTATGTATTATTTTATGGCTGCAAACAATGCTTACATTTTGTGGAACGACCGAGATAACATTGTTTAGGTTAAATTATAGTGTTAAGCAAAGATGGAAAACCGGTAAATGAGGGAATGAATTTTTGTCGACCGGAGCGTCTGAAAGATGTTAGATATCCCTAACTACTACATACCTTGACGGACGATGGGTCAAAAGAAAGCTGCAGGCGCCCAAGTTAGAACATCAATCCACGAGGTCATTGATTGTCCATCTGGTAGATCCAGACTGCGTGGTTCCGCTTCGCGCAAGAAACGTGATCAATGGTTAGAGACTGCATAAAACTGCTCAGAATCTCTCCCAATGGTGCAGATTTATCCACCCTTCGTTTTATCTTCAATCTTGAATTCCAGCACTTCTACACGCATACCTTTCCATTGTATTTTTGAACTATATTCGTAATGTTCAACCTTTCTCACCATCAGGTTTGGTATATTCCTCCGACCTCTTTTGTTATTCATCTTGTTGTGTTGATGAGATGTAGACCACTGAGCACCTACGCCATGCTCTACGTCGGCGATAATTGGCTGACCGTATTATGTCCCATAATAGTTAAGATAAATTCTTATTAATGCTCTAATTGAACTGTTCAGCTGAGAAAACGGTATTAATGATAACTACTGGTTAAGTACCGATTCCATACTACTTTTGCAAAAGTTCTTAGATCAGTCATATTGTTTATTGATAAATATGCAATTCAAACTAGATGTTATCTTTAGGAGATACGAGTTATATGTTACCTACAAAGTGCAAAAATAACAAATAATGATTAGAAAAATTATTTAATTTTATAAATGACCTTTTTGTTTACACTGGACGATAATTGTTATTATTTTAAAAAGATAATATTCAAAAGAATATTTAAACAGTCATCACAATAGTAATAATAATGATAACAATAATAATAGGTAACTGTCTATTGATCTAAAACGATAAAATACTGAATAGCCTACAATGAATACACAAACAGAAGAAAATTATTCACACAGCAAATCTCCGGAGAATAAACAAAGACACATTTGAGATAACATAAATAAATAAATAAGTAAACAGGGTTATATGTTTCAGTAAATTTGAAAATAATACAAGAAAATTGGTGATAATACAAACGATAACAATAACAACAGTTCAGTAATCAGCTAACCACCAAACACTGTCATGAATACAAGGAACTGATGACAATTACATAATTGTACTAGTGATGGACAGGGAACCAGAACAGAATGTTCTACGTTGTCTAAATTTAGATTAGAAGTTGTTATCCGGAAAGAATATAATACAATATTCACATAAAAGAAAAGAAAACAGAACATGACGAGAGAGACAAAACCCGGTTAGTGAATGAACGCAAAAAATGACAAAAATCACTGTAAAGATGAATATTTCTTGGTGAAATCGCACAGCCATTGACAGGGGAAACAAATTAATTAAATTACAAGAGAAAATTAAACACGTGAACAACCACAGTAGTTATGCAATAGAATATTTATCATTATTCTTCTTTTACTTACAGTGATGATAATTATGATCATAATGGAGAAAATAACAATGAACAACACATAATGATATGCAATGACAAGAATAAAAGATGTATAATAGGGTCAAGTATTTTCATTTGTTCATTTAGACAATATGTTATGCCATTAAATATCAACAAAACAGTCAAACAATCATTCACTAATTGTTTATCTTTTGTTTTTTTTTCATAAACAAAAAAGAAATAAAACACAACATAATAAGTGATTTGTTTTAATTTGAACAATAAGCGTAACAAAACAATACACCAAATCATCATCGACAATCGTTCAGTCATAAAAATTTTATTTTATCAGAAGGCACTGGATTATTGAATAAATTAATATTAATGTAGACTATATTGTGTTTTTTTCTTTTTTTTTTCCGACAAAATTGACAAATAAAACAGAATTAATGATACGTGTTAAGGGTAGTGGAATTGATGGATAATTTTAAATAAATAAAATAATTAGTTTCTTCTTTTGAAAAAAAGAAAGAGAAAAGATGAAGAAAGAGAATACTAATCAATCTTTATCACAAATTTTATGGAATGTAAATCTAGAGAGGACCTCATTTAAAAAAGAGGAGGAAGAAGAAGAAAAAGGAACAACACACATATATAAGCACACAAAAAAGCAAACAATATAATGATTATGACGATACATTCTTAAACTTTTCTATAATAATATCTTAATAGTGAAAAACAATGAAAAATAATAGGAAAATTGTGAAAGATGAATATATAAGAGAAATGGATAGAATCAATAAAATTATTGAATCATAGATATATGTGTATCCCACCACCCATCTAGATATTTCTTTCTTTGGCACTCCAGTATACTTCGAATGAATTATCTGGTAATCAATCAAAACACAAAGATACATACGTAAATTTATACTGCTTATGAAGAATTTTCCAATTTCGTACAACCATTGCTACCACTACCACCACCACCACTAGTCATAGGTATGAAGAAGGCTCCACAACGTAGCAGAAAAACACGCATTAAAGCAGCAACTTGTGGTGAAATGCCACCAGCCATTGCAACTATGTCACACAGACCAGGATATAGACAAGTAGCATGTTTATGAAATCTTGATGAAGGTGATAATTGAATTAATTGTGTAATAATTAATACTAAACAAGGATCCCATGCATGTCGATGTCCATCAATAATTAAACCATGATAATAATGAAAAGCATCCAATATTACATGGTCCAATAATTCATCAGCCTATTCATAAAAAAGAAGTGTAAAAGGAAGAAAGAAATTAAACGGTTTATTTATTATTTTAGTTTAAAGCAAATATAAAGTATTGCTAAGGAGTCTCATATTAGAATGAAATGATTGTCTAGTGTTTTCGATGGTTATTTAACTTAGATCAATTAAGTGATTCCAATGAGATTTAACAATATTCATAACTCTATACTGACAAAAAATATTTACTTTGTATAAATAAAGAGAAAACTATTCATTAGACTAATGATTTATCAAAGTAGGAGGAAGTAATTTTTTGATGACTAGGTTTGATTATTCTCTGAAGAAGTGGCTAACACTAAGTCACGAAACGTCAGAAAATCTAATTTTTCTACTCATTGGGATATTACAAATATAATATTTATTTATAGGTTTGATTAGTTGATAAAATCAAAATAATTAATTTGTAAATTTAGTGCTGTTACTTTTAAGTTAATGATTTCATTATTTCATAATTAGGGTTACTTATTAGTTATACATAAGAAATAAATTTGATTTTCATGTTGTTACACAAGAGTTGATGAAAGAGTAAATGTATCAATGAAAATAAGTAGAAAGGAATATGTATAGACAAAATGAATCCAGATGAAAGAACGACTCAATGGAATAAAAATACAAAATAATTTCAGAACTCAAGATCCATTCATTCGTTAAAATAACTATGTGAGCCCCAACTATTTACAATGGGGTCTTCACATGTACTTTTTGATAAAATCGTGTGAATGAAGAAAGAAACTGTAACTGTACATTGAAGGTAGATGATGAAAATGGAAATTCAACTGAAGAAACGATAACTTAATTAAAATGTTGGGCACTTCACATATCAAGTACGGGTTTATATACTTAGCTTTGGGTGGCATTTTGTAAATGTGAGGAAAGTGACAACACTCAGTTGCGCAAGTCGAAGTAG